TCATCTTAAAGAAGTTTATTCAAAAATATATCCAACCCTTATATGGTAACTAAATCTTCATGTCCTTTCCGTTGTCAGATCAAAGAACTAGAGAATGAACTGGAGGCTGAACAAAGAAAGTCAAGTGATTCTGTCAAGGGGATACGAAAATATGAAAGACGAATCAAAGACTTGACCTATCAGGTAAGTTTCAGTCCATTTACAGAATTGTGGAACACTGAGAATAGAAATTCTGTCCAAGAATAAATGGTTTTGCTCTTCATCGTTTTCAGACAGAAGAGGATCGCAAGAATCTTGCCCGTCTGCAAGATCTGGTGGATAAACTTCAGCTGAAGGTGAAATCCTACAAGAGAGCTTCAGAAGAGGCTGTAAGTAATCTTCATATTTTACACAATGTCATAAAGTAAAGACACCTATCCAAGTCCACTGCATGTGTGTGTATCATCAAAACCATTGCGCTTCATTACAGTAAATGTTATGTGTTTATATAGCGCTTTCAAGTCTTGATGACCACTCAAAGCACTTTACAGTACAGTTTTGCCATTTACCACATTCACACACACTTTTTTTATATGAGGGGCAATTCAGGGTTCAGTATCTTGCCTAAAGACACTTCGGCATGCAGATGGGGAAGACTGGGATCAAACCGCCAACCTTCTGGTTGGAGGATGACAGCTCAACAATTGCCAGAAGTAAAGGCTATTTTGTAGACCTTAACATTAAGCCTTGATGTAATTACTCCATAAAAGGAGTTTTCTTGTCATCCATATATAGATTTGTAGACAAATATATATGATATATTCCAAGTGGTCTTAGGTGGTTTCATTACAGAGCCAACATTATCATTACAAAAATACAGTCATTGACGAGGATGTTGTCTGTCTTTCTTTTAGGAGGAACAGGCCAACAACCATCTAACCAAGTTCCGCAAGATTCAACATGAGCTGGATGAAGCTGAAGAGAGAGCTGACATCGCTGAATCTCAGGTCAACAAGCTGCGTGCTAAGAGCCGCGATGTGGGGTCAAAGGTCTGTTCAATTTTTTTCCTAATAACGTTGTTGCCATCTATCTTATGACATATCATAATTAAAATATCAAAAACATATGTAATAATATATCTACACCCTCACACACACACACACACATAGATGCATACAGAACATGCATACATACAAGTCGCCCCTATTTTACAAACATGTTTGTCTTTTACAATGTCTTCTTGCCAGCAGAAGAATGGGATCATGGAAAATACCATGTTAAGTGTTTGAGATAGTCGGTAAATTATAGAAAACACCAGCAAAATAGTGCAGTATATACAAATGTAGAAGATCAACATGCATAATGGCTTCTCTTATTCTTCTTTTACAAAATCTCATAATCAACAGGAAGATCAGTTTGATTGTTTTATTGTCTGTTTAATTGTTGTGTTTTTTTCTGTCTCTTGATTTAGAAAGGACATGAAGGGGAGTAAAGCTCATGGACTGGATTCTAGTATCTGAGGCATCTGGTGTCTCCCTAAGCATGTTGATTGTTCAGTAGAATAAATGAATCTGCATCTCAAACTGTGTCTTGTATTTTTTTAGTAGCTTTGCCATAAATCACTAACAGTACAGTTGGGTGGCTGTGGCTCAGGAGGTGGAGCAGTTTGTCCTTTAACTAGAAGGTCGGCACTTCTATCTCCATTACGCTTGCCGAAGTGTCCTTGGGCAAGATACTGAAGCCTGAATTTACCCCAATTGCCAGCACTGTATGGAAAATGTGTGATAGGGAAACATAGATGCACTGTATGAATGTTTGTGAATGACACATCTACTGTAAAACACTGAGTGATCCTAAAGACTAGAAAGCACTATATGATTACGGACAGACATTTAGTTAAATTTAGCATCTATCTAGCAATCATGAACATGAAATAAATTAAGAACGTA